AATCAAGGGGACAGCAGGAGAGCAAGCAAAGGCACAGCAGAGCAAAGGACACGCTGGGACTCTGCGGAGCCACAGATCACCTGCGAACAATGGTCCAGCCTTAGCTTCCTCTTAGGAAAAGAGAGTTGCATCTCTTGGGGTGAGGCAAACGTCTTTCCACTGTGCTTGAAAAAGGGTAGTGCACCCACGGGGCTGTGATCTGGCCAACACCGAGCATGTTCTCCTCCGTGGGGAGGGTTGCTCAAGTGGCTTTCAGTTGGCTGTCAGTTTACAGTGTCTGGGGCCCAGGTCCTCCTCCGGGTGCTCATGTGACCAGTGCCCGGGACAGAGGCTCAGGGCTAGCTAATGCTCACTTTGCCTCAACCTTTGCAAGAGGCTCGTTCTTCACAAATCTCTCCCTCCTGGTTACACTTTGGTTCTGACTTCCTGGTGTTCTCTGCTTGTGTTTTCCTGATTTCCTTAGCCATGCAACACATCTGCCGTGCGGCTGCTAGCCACCACCTTTTGTTTCCATTCCCTCGGTAGCTGCTCGCCACTGTGAGAGGGAACAAGAAAGGTTTATCACAGGGCCCTACCTACTTCCCCTGCCCAGTTCCCCTTCCACCCCCAGCCGCATGCTGCCCTGTCCACCATGAGACCTGGCTAACTGATACTCTCGCATCTCCATCGCCCAAACCAGGGTAACTCCCTCCATTAACCCCTAGCCCTCTGTACCCGTCTCCTGCATTCCCCCTTTCGCCCCTCACAGTAGCCATGGTCTCCCATCGACTTCATCCTCTGCACTGGACATCAAGTGACCTGTAGATCGTGTGGTAGACAGATTAGGTACAGATCCAAGCGTGGAACGTAAGGGCAAGCTCAAAACCGGACAGAGACTTGGGACTCTATAGCTTATAGACAGTGTTTGGAGCCTTAGTGAAGACCTTTGGGAAAATTTGCCTAGAGAAGACTATGGGGCCAAGGACTAAGTTCCATGTGTTCCAAAGTTGATGGGGGAAAAAAAATCCCAGGGAGAAAGACAAGTTAGCGTCTGACTGAATAATGAACCACCACAGATGTCCACACACTCATCCTAAGAGCCTGTCACTGTGCTATCTAAAAGGGCAAAGGGATTTTGCAGACTTGATCAAATTAAGGGTGCTGAGGCAGACCTGGTGGCATAAGCCCTGGCAACATGGGAGTCTGAGACAGGAGGATCCCAGGTTCAAGTCTTCAGTGAGTTGTTGGGTGAGTTCAAGGCCAGCTGGGGAACTTAGTAAATAAGCTTGCCTTAAAAGAAAACCACAAGCAGAGGGTTGGGCATCCAGGCCAGTTGCAGGGTGCTGGCAGAGCACTGATGAGGCCCTGAGTTCAATGAAATAATAAATAAATAATAAGTAAAATTCAGGGTGTGAGTATGGGGAGGTATCTGGGGTTGTGTGTGAGGGTTAAAAATAATAGCAATATTCTGAAGTCCCCAGAAATGTGAGCCAGCATAGACCCTTCTCTCCCGTTGTTTGTGTTAGTGGTCTGGCCACAGTGGCTCAAAAGTGCTATAGTCTGTGTGAGCTGAAAATAATGGTAAAGTTCTCTGTAAGGAACTTGGAGAGCCACAGACAGACAATGACAATGACGTAAGCGGAAACCGTGGTTGGGGAGGAGAGACGATGTTGGGTCTATACAGAGACTGTTGATAGCAAGAGGGGCAGTCCTATAGAATGAGTGCACATAGCGGACTCACGATTCCTGAGGCAGCGTCAAAACATTTTAAACTTATTTTTCAATGTAACCGTATTTTTAAAATCAATATAAAGCACAGTCATCAGCCATATAAATCTATTATCTTTTCTTTCTCTTTAGAGATTCCATTTAATTTAGATGTTCAACTACATTTAATTTCCCTCAGCCTGCATTGCTGACCGTATGTTTCTTGAGGGTGAGGTTCTATTTTCACTGCCTCTCCTACCTAACGAACTATTTTACAACCATGAAAAATGTGGTCAGTTTATTTATATTTAAGCAAAATATGCCACAAAAACTCAATAACTTGCTCCCAGGAGCTTTGCATCATTGGTGACAGATGAAGGGGAGAGGTGGAAGCATTCGGCAACTTAATCTGATTTTACCATCATAAATATTCAGATCATATATATTTGTTTCACAAAATAGTTGTTTAAATGGTTTTAATTTATTTTCAATTTTATTGTCTCAACTGTTTTGTACAAATCAATTGCTGAAATAGTTTGGTAACATCATCACCCAATAAATGCTGAAGCCTCTCTCTCCAATTTATCTATCTATTTATCTATCTACCTATCTATCCATCTATCTATCCACCTATCTATCTCTCCTCTCTCTCATATATACAACTGGACCACCTGGAAATTCAGCAAACATTGACCAAAGGTAACTAGGGGAGAAAAGGATTTCTTTCATCTTGCCCCTTCCCTTACAGTCTTCCTTGAAGGGAAGTCATGGCAGGAACCCCAGGCAGGAACCTAGAGGCAGGAACTAAAGCAGAGGTCACAGAGGGACACTGCTTATTAGTATATTTCCTCCTTGTTTGCTTAGCTTGCTTTTTTATACAACCCAGGACCCAGGGATGGCACTGCCCTCATTAGGCTGGCCCTCCCCCACATCAGTCATTAATCAATAAAATGCCCCCACAGACATGTCTACAGGCCAATCTGATAGAGGCAATTCATCAAGATCCATAGATGAGGTTCCTCAGGTGACTCTGGTTCATGCCAAATTGACAAACATTGATCAGCATGGCATCCTCACAATCTAAAGTGGTTGCTATGACAATACCTGCTCCCTACAGCATCCATGTGAGTAAGATGTTAAATCTCAACATTATCAATAATTGGGGGGCTAAGAATTCGCCTCTGGGAATTCCGTGTTGTTGTGTGTAAGGCTGTGTACTCACAGTAGCACTACCTATGATGGATAACTTAGGGAGTTTTTTTTTTGTTTTGTTTTGTTTTGTTTCATTTTGTTTTTTCGAGACAGGGTTTCTCTGTGGCTTTGGAGCCTGTCCTAGAACTAGCTCTGTAGACCAGGCTGGTCTCGAACTCACAGAGATCCGCCTGCCTCTGCCTCCCAAGTGCTGGGATTAAAGGCGTGTGCCACCATCGCCTGGCTAGGGAGTTGTTTTAATTCTCAAAATAAGGACACTCTAAGAGGAAGCCAGAAACAGAGGTGAAGAGATCCCTGAAGTCACTGTTGCCTCAAGAGTGACTGGTAAGCTGTTATTTTCTCTCTTTTTAATTTTAACATTTATGCATTGTGTGTGTATATGCAGGGGCATGAGAGAGTGTGTGTATGTGTGTATATGTGTGTGTGCACACGTGTGTGCGCGTGGGGGGTGTATGTATGTGTGCATGTGTGTGCATGTATGTGCATGTGTATGCATGTGTGTATGTGTGTGTGCATGCATGTGTGCATGCATATGTGTGTGTGTGCATGCGTGTGCATGTGTAAATCAAAGGACATCTTTCGGGAGTCATCACTTTCCTTTTACCGTGTGGATACCATCAGGGCTAGCAACAAACACCATTACCTACTGAGGTATCTCTGGCCCAAGTTGTCATTTTTACAGCCACTGTGAGTAGAATAGAATAGGAGATTCCCATCTCTGGGAATCTGGGGTCCCAGAGGACTTTAGTCTCAGCATTAGGGTATGAGAACATGCTTCACGCTTACACACAAGAGCAGGGTGCTGAGAAGTCGAACCTAGACAAGGAGGCTTTGAAAATTTCTAATAAGGCAGAATTTCCTACCCAAATAAACACTAACTAAAGCAAACCTTCTAACATGAAGTTCCTTGGACTTAGAGCAAAACCCCTCAAGTTCCAGCAGAGGAGCTGTGTTAATATCAGACAAAAGTAGATTATAAAGAAAAAAAGCCATTGGGAGCACAGAAGGGAAGAACATAAAAGAAACGTGACTGCAGGATTTGTCTACTAAGTTTCAGCATTTAGTTGCTAGAGAGGGTCTATGGTTACTCTTGCTTGTGATCTGTCCCACCCTAAACCTTATACATTCTACAAACCTCTTACATTCTGAAGGCCTGGCCTTTCAAACTCTGAAGCCAGCATAGGGTTCCTGGGAATGGATTCTGAGATGCAAAGCTACAAGAAAATCTCTTGGGAATTCCTGTTCCATCTCCTCAGGAGAGAAGAAGGCAGATTCAAGCTAAGGAAGATGGCTCTGGGGAAGGCCAGACCTCAGAATTCTACAATACACTCTGGAGCAGGGGAGCCATAAGATCTGCTCCAAGCTGCGAAAGAACCAGGCCTCTCTATCCCTTCAGCAGCCAGTATCTGAACATGGTGCACGCTCTGGAAGGAGATTTATCCTCGACTGAGGCGCTTCCTCGTCTCAGTGGAGGGAGCTGAGCTACCAGAAGCCTGCCTGTCACCATGGTGCAGTGGGTGTGGAGGCTGTGGAGACAGGTTTGGGGAGATCCCATAGTTTGTACCTGTTTCTTCTAACACATGTGCTCCAGAGGGGAGCAGCTGCTTAGACTCTTGTTGGGAGTAGTTCCCAGAGAGCTCGCAGCTGACTAGCAAAGGCAATGGCAGCCTGCCCCCCGCCATTACCACCCAGCTCTCTCTGATACATGGCATCGCTTTCATAACAAGTTCAAATCCCTGTCCCATGGGCTGGGAAGACAGAACTGTCAATGAAGGGCTTGGCATGGTGCTTAGTTGTTGCAAGGTCAGGGTCAGGGAAGAGACAGGCAAAACCCTGAAACTGGCTGGCCAGTCAGCTTAGCATACTTAGCAAGTGCTAGGTCAATGAGAGATTCCGTCTCAAAATAGAAGGTGGGCATAACCAGTGATGAACCACATCTAAGGTTGTCTTCTGGTTTCCACACTCAGGTGCACACATTTGCGCACGTGCGTGTGCACGCGCGCGCGCGCACACACACACACACACACACACACACACACACACACACACACACAGATTCCCCCTTCCTTCAACTTACACTATGTCTGGTCTAGGACACTTACCTGTGGTCCAGATCATCATTTCTGACTTTTGGTTATCCCTCCAATGCTACTTTTCTTCTGCTGTGACCAAACACCTGAAAAAGAAAATAAAGAAACAGTGATGTATGTGGGCTCATGGCATTATACAGAAGGGCAGAACCTTCCGTTATGATGGTGGCAGAGGCTACAGTCTATGCTGGCAAGAGTGTAAGGCTGCTGCCAACCAGGAATAGTGGGCAAGATGTGGGGCAGAGATGTTAACCTCAAGACCCTCCCACAGTGATCCACTGTTTCCCATCTAATGTTTTCCAAAACACTGCCACCTATGGGGGCATTTCATGTTCGGAGCTCAGCAGCTCCCTTCTCAGGCTCTGGTTCCTGTTGTTGGCCATCGTTAGGGGCAGCTGGGCCTGAGGACAGAGAGGAGACACCTGGTTTACCAGCTGAGCATAAAACGCATCCCCCTAGTGCTTAGGACCAGATCTGTCTGCCAGATGACATCACCTTTTCTTGCCCACTGGTCATCATCATTGGGGGACTCTCAGTGACCAGGTGGCTGGGGTAAATTAAACTTCAATGGGACTCTTACTGCATCTTCCTCTGGAGGCCTTGTCCTTGCAGAGAACTGTACCTCCCCACCCACAGAGTCAGTCTTGGCAGAGGGGAATGGGCAGATCCTCACGTAGGGCCCTCGGGGCGATGGTGAGCATCACTGGTCCACTAGTCTCCCTTGGTTCCCTGGCCCATGTAATCTCCCTCCCAGGAACACAGCCAATACGGGTATCATGTATACACTGTCCAGCAGGGTAACAGCTACCCTTCATGGGTAGCATTCCTGCCTTCCTTTCTCTTCCATTTGCTGTAATGAAAACTACTCCAATAGAAGCACTTTAAAGGAGGAAGGGTTTGTGGCTCACAATTCCAGATTGTAGTTCAGCGTGGAGGGGAAGTCTACACGGCAGAAACTAGAAGTCACGGGTCACCTCACACTCACAGGCACGAGCAGAGACAGATGACTGAATGGGTCCGAGCTGCTGCTCTCTCCCTTCTTCTTAGACAGTCCACGAATGGAATGGTATCATCCCTGGCTAGGGGTGAGGGGTCCTCTCTTACCAAGGTAATCCTTCATAGACATTCTTAGAGACCCTTCCCCCAGAATGTGTGTCAAGCTGGTGTTTGAAGCTAACCAAGACAATCCCTAGCCTGGCACCTCTGTGCCATTTCCAGAAAGCTCTCCCCACATCCCGGTCAGGCTAGCCATTTCCAGGTAATGCCACAGAGAAACCGTGGATCTTGTGGCCATGTGTCTGCAGCTGTACTTCCCTTGTGATAGAGTGAGTCACTCGGCCCCTGTTGATGGAGAGTGGTGGTAAGGATGATGTCCCTGCAGGCAGGAAATGTAAACCTATACCAAGACAAGCTGGTGACCCCAGTCAAGAGGAGTCTCTATTCCTCACACATATTCAACTTCCTCCTTGAAGACTGATGTGGAAACTTGGCATTGTTGGTCTCTGTGGCTGGCAGGTTAGACATTTGGAAGCAACGGTATGTGCAGATAAGGCCTACATAATTGAAGCCTCTACCAGTTACCAATGAAGTCATGCATAGCCTTCCTCTCCGCCACTGGGACACCCAGACCTGTGCTGGGGTGGCTGATGACAGACAAGACGGTATCAGCTGCCAGTCGGCCTGTTTTCTTGATGACTTGTTGCCATTTCTACAGAGGCGGCACACGTGTGGCACACAGATCTTTACACTCTCTGCTCACTTCCAGGGGTTTTTGCCAAGACCGCTTCGCTGTCTGCTTTCTATAAGGTTCTGTCTTCAGAGCATTGCACCGACAATAAGGTTTGCTACAAACACCTCACACATATAACCTTAGCTTGAGGTACTTCGTTTCTCCTACAAAGAGGATGATCAGATGACCTCCCCAGATACGTGTCCCCGGAGGATTTCTCCTAGCCACCATCCTTCCTGGCAGTCCTTGGGAGGAGCTGCACGCGGTCCATTTCCACATACACAAATGAGTCAAGCCACCATCCTCACAGAAGCTGATGGGGATGAGCTTATGGGGAAATACCAAGACCAGAGTGGGTGATAGGAGGGATGGACCAACCCTCTGCAACTTCCTTGTTCTCTCTGGCTTGCCTTGTTTCCAGTCCTGGAGAACTTACTTCTCTTTTTGATGGACCCACCCAATCTTCCAATACAGTGATTCTGACAGTTCCCAGTGCAGCCGTGTGCTATTTAACACCCCAAAGTTACATGCGACATCACTGCCACGGCCAAAAGCCATGCCAGGGGCCACTCATCACATGGTGCTTCTACTTTACTGGAGCTGATGACTTGGCCCTTCTCCAGAATGCAAGTGGTTATGTTGACTTATCCTCCAGGCTTGACCAAAGGCTCCCTTTGGTGTCCATCATGGTTCATATGGGTTGACAGTTTGATACGAGCTTGGACCACCTGGAGACAAACTTCTGGGTATGTCTGCAAAGTGTTTCTAAATTAATTGAGGTGGGAAGAAGCACCTTTAAAGTGCCCAGCCCCATTCCCTGTTCTAGTGTCTCTGACTTAGCAGAATGCAGAAACCGAGCCGGGTACCTGCATTCATCTCACTCTGCCTCCTGACTGCAGACCCGATGTGACCAACCGCCTCCTGTTCCACTTGTGATGGCTTCCCTGCGATAGCAGACTGGAAGACCCAACTGCAAGTCAGAAGACGTCTTTCCTTCCCTGCTTATTTTTCAGTGTGTTGTCACAACGGTGAGGAAAACAGCTAAGGTGGTGTCCTTTCCTAGTTTCCATACCCTGAGTGCCATTGGGATTCGCCGCATCGTCACACGCCATCCGAACAGAGCTGGACAGCATCCAGATGGTGCTACCAGTAGACTGGTAAAAACAGCAGGCTCCCTGTACCCGCGGTAGGAAGTGGTGCTCTGTCCTGATCAGCCTCAAGTTTCCTAGTGACGAAAGAGATTCACAATTTCACAAAACTTTGCAAATATAGAGTGCCTTGAATTTTCCTCAGGCCTTATCCTGCAGCGCATACAATCAAGCCTCTTGGCCGCTGCTTGCATCTCTGCTCCAACCGCACAATACGCTCATGTTCTAGACATCGATGATGTACAGTATAATGTCCAGACAGCCCCCATGGCTTCAGATGAAAAAATACCAGACTCTATCAAACATAGAAAGCTACTGGTAATCCCATACTCCCTAGAGACAAAGAAATTTGTTTTAAAAACTACAGGCACATCATTTAGAAATGCGATCTCTCCCAGTCAAAGGCAGATTGCTAGGGCTTTATCTGTTGTGTGGATTCTACTACAAACAAACAATAGATGTTTTAATGACCAAAGTAAGAGAGTTTATGTGAACCTGGAACAAGACCAGAGAATTACTCTTTGTTCCAGATCAAGTCAAAAGGCGCTGACCCTCCTTTCTTCAGAGATCTGAACTATCATTGTCTTAGCTTGTTGTGATGAGATATCCAGCAAGAAATGGCTTCCAGAGGGAAGGGTTGCTTTGGGCTTCTAGTCCACGATGGGAAGAAAAGCATGACACTGGGCTTGACAGGCTGCTGGTCACATTGCATTCACACCCAGGAAGCAGAAAGTGAACAGGATGTAGGGTGGGGTTACAGGAGCTTAAGGCCCACCCCCACCCCCAGGGATCCACTTCCTCCAGCCAATCTCCACCTCCTAAAAGTTCTATAATCTCCCCAAATGGCACCACCAGCTGGAGATGGAGTGTTGAAACTCATGAGCCTACAGGGGCCTCTCACATCCAGGCCACCACAGCCCTGGGCCTGCCAGCTACCGTTTCCCATGTGTTAGCCATGCTGCGCTCATCCTGTCCCGTCATGCTCTCCCCTCCATCTTCCTATGTGCAGTGGATCATCAAAACCGTGTTCACTGTCTCTGGATCATCAAAACCGTGTTCACTGTCTCTGGATCATCAAAACCGTGTTCACTGTCTCTGGATCATCAAAACCATGTTCACTGTCTCTGCCCCGGATGCCGTCTGTGCGGGAAATGGCCGTGTGCAGAGGGCTCCCCAGGACCACCTGGAAGATGTGAGGAAATAAGAACAGCGGGGTGAGGCACCTACTGAGGACACCAGTCAAGTGTTCTCGCGTTCTCCAGAGTGGAAACGCTCACAGTGTTGCCTTGAGCCAGGTGAGGGGCTGAGCTTTACATGGCTGCTTCAGCCAGACCCTATGCCAGGAAGACCAGGGCCATTCGGGAACTGCAGCAGAGGGTGACAGCCGAAATGCAGTTGAGCAAGCAGGAGCCAGGAATCTGGACTCAGAATAGGAGAGCTAGATAAACCACCCTAGTACTTCCTGCAGCCAAAAGAGGGCAGGCCGCTTTCCTCTCTGCTGCCTCTACAGAGACTGCACGGTTCAAGGCTGTGGAATAGGGGAACAGCAAGGGTTTCAGGATGGCCAGGTTGGAGGGGGAAACTCCCAGCCTTGGTTTTCAGAGAAAACCCATCAGCTCCCTTCATTTCTGAGAGCTCTATCTTTGTTCCACACCCTCTGCCACCACCCTGACTGTGTCTGTGCTGGGGTCTCACACATCCCTACACTTAGTGCCTAGCCCAGCAGCACCCAGTGAGTCCTGAACAAATAATAAAACTATTGGGCAAGTTACCCATTATGATTACTTACATGGTCAGCTTGACCCTTGCCTGAGGCCTGGTGTCATCACCAGGCAGAGACCGAAGTTCTCAAGGAAAACCTGACCTTGTTAAATAGGGAACCCTGCTAAACCATCCCAATACTAGTACAGTCCCAGTGAGCCAGCACCCAGGGGACCCACCCAAAGGTTGCTACATCTGACCTATCCAGAAACTATCTGGGACCCTGCTTCTGTGGCAAGTGACAGGAAGCTAGGGACATACAGAGGTCTTGTCGGAGTTGACAGGGAGGGTCCTGTTGAGGCCAGACCTCAGGTTTCTGTTCCTCCCAGCTCGCAGCCTCTCCTGTGAGTCAGAAATCACAACAAAAGCAAGAGGCAGAAGAGCCTCAGGGGCTGCCCTGAAGGGAAGCCAGGACTACATCAGACCCCCACCCCACCCCGGGCCCACAGTAGGGAAAGTATTTTGGGGGATCTTCCAGTGAGGTGCCAGGGTCATGTAGGGTGGGCATGACTGGGCATTCCTGGAGTTGGGAAAGCTCTTATTTCATGTTCCATGAGACAGGCAAACTCAGAGGGGTTAGGGTATACATTGGGCAAAAGCAAATAGACAGACAGACAAGGGCAATGGATTTTGTGTGTCAAAATCTTTACAAACCCTCATTTTTGAGCTCTGACTTGCCTACTTACTAATCATGTCATTTCAATAAGTTTCCTCAGCCTTCCAGAACCTACATCTACTATCTGTGAAGTGTCAAGGACATGAGCACTCACTTCCTGCCTCTCAGGTGTGGGGGGGGGCTAGCCAAGTGCTCCCCCTGCCCTGTCTCAGCTGCTGGGTCAGAGGCTCCAATTCACTGTGTAGAATGGAGCTTGTGATCAGCAGCTACACCCTCCAGCGCTGTCTTTCAACACCGCCCAGGCAGTCCCACATTCCTAAACCACAAAGCACAAGGGACATACTCTGCCTGGAGGCCAGGACCTTGGGTTCCGGCCTCTGACCTGCCACAGAGTTGCATTGTGAAGCCTTTAAATGTCACTTTGGAGGAGGGAGATGGCACTGTAATATCTTCTCTTCTGGCCAAATAACTTGATGAGCCACCCGGCAGAAGTCAGCCTCAGGATGGCTCCTCTGCATTGATACAGTCCCGCGGGCGGGTGTGCGTTGATACAGTCCCACGGGGGGGGGGGTGTTGATACAGTCCCACTGGGGGTGGGGGTGTTGATACAGTCCCACTGGGGGTGGGGGTGTTGATACAGTCCCACTGGGGGGGGTGTTGATACAGTCACACTGGCGGGTGTGCGTTGATACAGTCACACTGGCGGGTGTGTGTTGATACAGTCCCACTGGTGGGTGTACAGGGTGTCCCACTTTCACCAGGCTTTCAATTCACAGCTGAGAGGGGGTTTCAGTCCATACTCCTTGATTCAAGGCAAGTGCCCACCTTCTGCAACAACTCTAGAAAGCTAAGCCATTGAGCAAAAGTTTACCTTTTCCCCTCTCTCTGCTCCCTGTCCTGGGCCTCTGTCATTTGTTCCCGAGACATCAGCCAGAACGCCCAATCACACCTAGGGACCCCAAGTGTGGCAATTTTCATGGCCGAGAGGAACTACACTGGAAATTCCCATGGGCCAGGGTTTAATTATGTGAAGGGCATTTTCTGGATGGTCCTAGAGGATAAAATGAGAATACGTCTTGGAGCGAACCACTCAAAAAGGCCAATATAAACAACGTCCAGTTAAAACCTCCCACGTCATTCCCACTGCGCAGGTATATCCCCCAAAAGTCTGTCTGCTGTAAGGTGAGGGACAACAGAGGGTGCCTCTGGGCACAGGGTGTGTGTACAAAAACTCAAATTTTTACAGCAGACTTCCCATGTATTTTGTTGACCTGGAAGAAATGATGGTATCTCCCCCTAGCCTCAGTTTCTCCGTCTGCAAAATGATTGGAGGGAAGATGTACCCAAGGTCTATGCCAGTTTTGAAATCCTGAGAAATTTTCAATGACAGCGCATTCCTGATGGGGCCTGGGGTCAGTTTAAATATCTGATAAAAATGTTAGCCCAACCATGTCTGCGGAATTATCTAGTAAGTTCATGAACATGGGTGAGTGTGTGCCTCACATGTGAGAGAAGATTCAGACATGCCCTGGAGTCTTTCTTAGAAGGTGGGCTAAAGCTTCTCAGTCCTGGAAGATGCTGAAGATGGGGTCTTTGGAATTGAAGCAGAAAGGGGGGCAGCAGCTAGGGAGGGCAGTAGAAATGGGAAGGCTCCATCTGGAAATCAACACAGTTGTGAACTTTTAAAGACTGGGCCGCAGTTCCATCTTATCCTTGGAAACAAGATGTTCAAGGAGATTCTCGGCTGTGATCAGCCCCATGCTCTGCCTGGGAGGCCAGGTGGAACTACAGAGGCAGGTTCCCAAGGATTGGGAGCCATGAGGGTGGCCAAGGCAGTGACCTTGGTTCAGCGTTCCCCCCCAGATGTTCTAGGTATGTTCCAGAATAAGAAGGAAGCTGGCTGAAGACCAAATCCGATGTTTTTATTCCTTTAAAGGGGTGACAGGCTAGCTCCAGTTCATCCTGTCTCTGGAACCAAGGCACCAGGTCAGAGTCGGATAGATCTCTGTTCAATTCCACTTACTGAAGTAGCGGAGCAAATGAACTCAGACAGTGGCTCGTGTCAGAGTGTAATTTAAAAATCTACACTTGCCTGAAACATAATCTAATGCAAGAAGAGTTCATAGAGTCCAAAATTCTCCATGTTGAATGCTGTTTGGGCATTTAAAAAAAAACAAAATGTAGGAGGGTCGCCAGTCACACATAGTCACAATTTAAATACTGCCCACTCTAAGAAAGGGGAATAGAAAAAGAGAGAGTAACTAAAAACGTCCATGTTATTTAGAAACAAAGTACAATCATCTCAGACATGTGAGCTGTAAAGTGATGCATTGATGAGAATGATCTGCCACCTGGTCACCCGGCTCTCAGAATGCACTTTATAGGAATATCTCTTTCCTAAGTCACAGTGCCATGTTGACAGTACCTATCTGTCCCTAGCATGGTAGTCATGAAGCCATGAGCACCAAATAGCAGTAAGCATGGAGCCTTCTCCATCTGGACATCAGAGTGCTCACCAGGGCTCTGCAGCCCCTCCTAGAATAGCCCCCACCACACCTAGAATGATACTCGTGTGCAGACAACCACAAATGATAAATGCCGTCAACCGCTGCTGCTCAGAGGATCCCAGACCCTGCAGCGTCAAGAACTCAGCTGAGAAACAGGTCAGTGAGCTCCCCTGTGCCACAGTCTTGTTGCTTCAATTCTTTGGAGTTTCCTTTCTTGGTTTCCTCCCCTTCAACACTGAGAGCACAGACAAAATGCAATAGCCCTACTTAGCCTCACGCCATGCTTCAGAAGGGAAGGGCCTGTAGTTCCTGCCAGCCAGTCTTCACTCACACAGGGAATGAAGTGGTAGACAATTCTCCAAGCCTTCTTCTCTGAGGGGATCTGAAGTCTGAACAGGAGACCATATGCATTTTCTTTCAGACATCTAAGGACTGCACTGGAAACTTGCACTTGGGCCCACTTTGCTTCTCAAAGACTGTCGGCACTAAGGCCTGCTGGGAAATAAAATGGCCTCCTCCAGAGGAAGAAGCCTTAGGAGGACATGACAGCAATGGGGACAGCATAGAGGAGTGTGGGGTTGCAGCGCGGGCCTTTCTTAGAAGGTGCTGATAGAGAAAGGGGGAGAAGACAAAGGGGTAGAGAGGCAGAGGCCCAGCTTCAGGAGGGCTAAGTGACCCCTGGGAGCCAGAGCAGGGGGGCTCTGATGCGAGACTGGCACCCAGAGAGGAAACACTATCCAGAAAATGCTGCTGGTGGTGGCACTTAAGGAATGGGGACTTGGGAACCTACTAGGGCCCTGATCACTGACTCTCTTTCCTGGTGTGATCTCTTTCTCTCCTCCGCCCCTGTATATGTGTACTGCTCTCTGCTGTCTCTCTCTGTTTCTCTGTGTGTGTCCCTTTCTGTCATTCTCTCGGTCTCTCTGTCTCTGTGTGTCTGTGTGTGTGTCCCTCTCTGTGTCTATTTCTCTGTGTCTCACTTTCTGTCTCTGTGTGTGTCTTTCTCTGTCTTTCTCTGTGTGTCTGTCTTTGTCTGTCTGTCTCTCTCCCTCCCTCCTTCTCTCCACCCATCCCCCTCACTCTTTTTCCTCTAGAGAAGCATCTCCACCAGCCAGCCCTTTACCCCCCTCTCCTTGCCCTTCACACCCACCATGCCTGGCTCTTCTGGATGCCTGTCTGGCCTTGGGTGTTGCTCTTATCTCATTGGTCAGACTTCCATCTGTTTGGAATGAGGGTTCTCTGAAGCTGAGTATGACTCTAATGGACAGCTAAACATTCAGCACAGTACACAGCTGGTGCATAATAAAAGCTTAATGTGAAACTAGACATGGTGGTGCACCACATGGGATGCTGAGGCAAGAGGATAAAGAGTTCAAAAGTGTGCAGGCCTGGCCCGCATAAGACTCTATGTCAAAACAAAAGTCTGATGAAAGACTAAATAGATGGATGAATGAATGAATGAATGAATGAATGAATGAATAGATGGATGGATTAATGAATGGATGGATGAGTGGATGGATGGATGGATGGATGGATGGATGGATGGATGGATGGATGGATGGGTAGATGGATGGATGGGTGGATGGGTGAATGGGTGAGTGAGTGAATGATGGTGATATTCTAGCAAATTTGAAGAAGCAGAGGTGACTCAGAAGAGCCCTCATCTGCTGGGCACTTGCTAAGGGCCAACACTGCTGTTAGACCGAGGATCGTAGGTCTCACAGAGTAGGGGGACGGGAAATGATCAACCTCTACCCCTCTGAGGAGGCTCGCCCCCCTTTCCAAGCACTCTTTACTTTCACACATGCCCAGTTCTGTGTCTG